TAAGAGTTTCACCGGGCGTGGTGGCGCACGTCTATAATCCCAGCACTTGGGAGGCTGAGGCAGGAGGATCGCTGTGAGTTTAAAACCAGCCTAGGCTACACAGTGAGTTCCAGGTCAGTCTCAACTACATAGTGAGACCCTGTCTCAAAAAACAAACAAACAAACAAAAAAAGAGTTAAGACCATGCCCAGTTATTTCCTGTTTGAGAAAACTAGCATATATCACCCTGTACCACAATAAATGAATGAATGAATGAATGAATGCTGTGATTATTCTCCCATGGGAGGGGCTTTGGGAACCTTCCCCTTGCATTCTGTGTGCTGACCTCACACCTGTCCCGCCCCAGCCCACTCCAGCCTGCATGAGTCCTCATCTCAGAGTACAGTGTCCCTGTCCAGCAAGAAGCCTTGCCTTTGGCCTCCTTTCTCCGCCATGTCCGCCCCCAGCGTGTCCTGTTAATCTGTCTCCTTTTTCTCCAGTCTCTTCACAGCTCTCGATCTTCACTGCCACCACCTTGGCCCAGCATCTTTTTTTGCACGTTCCCAAGTCAGCTTGGCTGTCCCTGGCCTCTCTGGCCTTCCCTCACCCACTTTCTACCTATCAGTAGCAATGATCACCTCAGAGGTGCAGCTGTGACCTGAGCGGGGCCTTTGCACATGCTGTCCCTTCACCCACTCCTCACATTTCTCTTTACCAGGTTAATGCAATTCATCCAGGCCCAACTCAAGTATCACCTCCTCCAGGAGTTCTCCTGGATTTCCCAGGTAGCTCCAAACCTCCAATACAGCCATTACTGTTTGTGACTGTGTGTTTATTTCTGTGATTGCTTGGCCAATGCACTCTCACCTAGGAGATTATAACTGACCCGAAGGCAGGGTCACGTCTGCTTTTACTCATCAGCTCCTGTCATCCTCACTCACCTGTTAGTACAGCACCTGATACTCAGTAGATGCCCCATAACCAATTGCAGAACTCGGGGAGCTGAACACCCCAAGGAACCCCAAACCACAAGAGGAGGCTGCCCAGAGATGGAGCGAGACACGCAGTTCCACAGCCTGACCACCAGGTGGCAGAGTGTCTTGGTCTACCGGGGCTGCGGGAGCCAGGGGCTCTAAAATCCACAACTGCCAAATAGAAAGCCGGGGGGGGGGGG